GTAGGACACTATTTATCATTTTCCAATTTAAGTGTTTTTTAAAACCGTTTATGAATATTTTTGAATTACTTATTTTATAAATTAAAATTGATATATCTTTAAATAAATTGTTTAAATTAATGTGTCATAGGCAATAATACTTGTTTATTTATTTCTACGAAGTCAACCGAATTTCTTTCTAAATAAGCTTTGAACATTCCGTAAACTAATTTTGATCATTAACAATGACTATTTATGAATATATTTTCTAATTCATCTAAAATTTCGATCAAAAGTTTATAATCTTGATTCTACAGTTCAGTATATTTTTGTTGTACATTGTTGTTGTACTCCTGTATCTTTACTTTCAGATAGAGTTGTAAACTGTTTTCATATACTTAAGCATATTTGTAATACATTCAAAAACTTTCATCCTTTTTTGCATTTAGTTCTTGTAAAATTCTATCCGATTCTTCAGCTAATTCAACTGCACTGAGTGTATCTTTTAAGAGCGTTTTATATTCACTTTCTGTAGTAGATAAAAACATCCGTTCTTCATATTGTTAAACACTTTTATGGCCATTTCGTTAGCATTGTCTGTATCATATCATCAAAGCTTTTTCCAATCTTTCTAAAACTTACGTTCCATTGTTTCAGTCTTTTCTGGAACTTGTTTTTCCCTTGTTTTAATGTTTCTGCTTGATCTGCTGTCATTTTTTTAAGACTCGTTTTATATAACCATTCGATATAACCATTCGATAATTTAATTTCAAAATCAATTGTAAAAACATAATCTTCTGGATTCGACCGATTTTGATTTAAGTCATTTCTTTTTCTATGAATTTTTATAAGATATTGCTTTAAACATATTATTTGATATTCTACTCTTTCTACTATCTCTTTTTTAATATTATCGTGAAGAAAATTGATTCATTTCAATAAACATTGCATAAACAAAATCTACATTATTCATATTGGGACAAATGCTGATGATTTCTTTTGAAAATTCTCCACGTTGAATTAGTACAAATGAAGAAATTTCTTGTAGAGGTAGAAATATTGTATCTTTCGTCACTTTTCATATCCTCCCTTTTAGGATCACACACTAAGAGTCAATCTACAGCTTGGAAAAGGTACCTTTCAGCCACCGATTAATAAAATTCCATTGCAAGTTTCATTCAGTATATGTCGCAATGATGAAATTATTTAGGTAGAACATTTTCTTGCAGTACACCATATCGATCAAGTGAATGAAATTCAACTAGATGCATCTGCTGCATTTCATACCGCATCCTGTGCATGATGCTGATTTCCAAGATGATAATAAAGGCTTCTCGTAATACTGTGAAAATCGATTTCTAGTCAACCAGATCTCCAAAAGCAAATCTTTTCTTCAAAATCAGTTGTTGATCTTGCCAGTTTTTAGAGCAGATCAACTTATCTATATCCATAACCTTTTATCTACTATTGGACGTAGTCTAGCAGTGTCGTAAACAGTTGGATTCTAGATTAAGCAGAATTATTGCAAAATATAGCTCTGACAAGAATTGTAAGTAAAACGGCAGAAGAAGTTTAACTCAGTTGTGAGAACAGATTGAAATAAGTTAGAAAAGACAATAAAACTTCGTCATGTGTTTCATCAATTCAACACTTACACTTATTTTATCGTTTTCTTCAACTTTCTCCCAAATTCATCGACTTACTTAACGATACTTCTGCTGAATCTAAAATTGACACGTTATGACGCTGTTAGACCACAAGCGATACATTCGGCAAAAGATAACGCCGACTGAGCCGCATCATTGTTTACGATTATATCATCACTACTGCGTTGCATAAACCGCTTTTACTTCACTATCTGAAAAGAATGTTGATATAAAACTCAAAGCGTACTGGCCTAAGCGATCTCCTACCTACACGAACAAGAATTATTAAATCAGCATCATTTATTATAAAAAGCACCAAGATTCTAGAAAAAAGAGAAAGTTACGACTCTTCTCTTAGAACTAAAACGCAAGCCTCTATCAGCTGTTGTACAAAATAACGTTCTAAGACCAGAAGACAAAATAAAAATCTTATAAAACTTATATGAATACATATGATGGAATTCCAAGGAACACTGGTCACAGGAAAGTCACCGTATACGGCAGTCGTAAACCGCCGTATACGTCTGATGTATATCGCTGTACATGGTCATATATGGTCTATTGGACCGTATACGGTGTCTGTTGGACGTGGGATATAGAGTGCTTTCATCTTACCGGTTTTATCCAGCGCCTACCATCGAGCACCTGCGAGAGTGGAATAGACTTAAGTTAGATAAAAGAAAACAAGAGAGATGCATTATTTATCCTTTCCTTGTTTGATGCCTGACGTTGTACGTTACTGATAACGTATGTTGTGCATATGTTGTGCAATACATTTTTTCTTGTATTACTGATGCCCTTGAGTTTTTCTTTTACAGAGCAAAATGCACTTTTATATAACGCAAGCAAACATGTTGTGATTCACTTTTCACTGAAAACGACAAAGTCATTTCAAAGTAAGAGTCAATATGTATGTAATTTAGACAAATACGGCACATGTCGTAACGCATCCTTTTCATCAAAGTAACACAAAAAATTGTTTGGCTATGTAGACTACTTGGCTAAGAGTCGACTAGAATGTTCAGGATTAAGATTAGAATTTCGACAGTCTTCATTTCTAACGCATTCTATCTTAAGGACGGAGGTCAGCCTGCGCTGACAAGTTCTCATCGTGACAATATTAAATTTTAAAAGCCATGTTTTGAATCCGCATTTGGGACTGTGGGTGGTGAGGGAGAAGTAGTTTCACACAAAAGATATTTTCATAACATGCTGTGAATTTGCTTCAGCGTTTCAAGTAGTTATCTGGTATGTCAGTAGTTCAAGATGAAGCTAAATTAAAAATTTATTAACGGGCACGTTCAGCAATACGCATTGTTTTGTTAGTTTTCTAATGTTTAATTTTCTTCACATCTGTTTACGTAAAAGCGTGGAAGAGTCGGTCAATCAGTGTTGCCTTGTAAAGCTACTGATTGTGTAGTGCAATCAAATTTCTTGTTTTAATCTCAATTTCTGTTCTTTTGATCACACTAGCAAAAATTTCCCTTTCTTTCTTCCTCTGTGTAGAGTAACACATCAGTCACCTTCACACATTCTCCTTTGCTTGTTGAAGTAAGAATAACGCTCCAAACATTTTCATTTCGTTTCTTACGCTCATAAATACCATCTGTACATTGCGAAATTGCAATGAGAAATTTCTCGCATTCTTCTTATCTGGCATGCTAGTCCAAGCGCATAGAGGATATCTCCTTTGTCAAAAGTGTGAAGAGTGGACATGTCAAGACAGTATGTTAACGTAGCATTGTAGGATCTTCTTTCTCATGAGTGTTCAGCTGTAGTGTCAGAGAGGCAGAGACACTTGACATGTCATCTATACTATCGAGAGTGTTGGAATGGAAAGAAGTGTCAGACAAGAATCAGGCATATGCGACAATCGAACAAGATGTTTGATACAAGCAGCAGAAGCCACTATAGTTAGAATTTTAGCACTATTTTCATATTTTCAAGACCTGCAATAATTTGATCGTGCTGCTTTCTCGAAATAAAACTCTTCGTTCTCGTACAGTCACTAATACATGTAAAGTGACTGGAGTCGATGCCGAACTGCGACATCTGTTGTTCTTTCTGAAAAGAGAACCCTATTCCTTACCCTGATTCAGTGATCAATTTCAAAACACAGTATCACTCTTCAACACAAAATCTAACAGAACCGTGTTCACTGAAACTGCAGCAAGTTCTTGTAGATATTAGAATGGCCACCAAATATCCTGATAAGCCAGCAATGACATCGAGCACAAAGAAAATAAGTCAAAGACGCAGCACTAACCTCGAGACGTTTGCATTATTGTGGCTCGATACGAATGTTGACGCCACAGCAGAGAACAGAGAAACACAATCACAGCTACGTGCATCAATCAACTTTCTCAAGACATTCCAGTCACCAGATGCTTGTGAAGACTACATCGGACAGGTGAAGGACGAGAGAGTTGTGTTGATTGTCAGTGGAGGACTGGGACAGCAACTTGTACCGAATATTCATCATCTCTCTCAACTATCAGCCATCTATGTCTACTGTTTGGACAGAGAGAGAAACGAAAAGTGGGCGAGAAACTTCAACAAAGTAAATGATGCTCTTCTCCCTTCGGATGACATCCTCTTGCATGCTCTCTACTTCAGATCAAAGGCGTGTTCGTTCACTCAGATGAGCTAGTCAGTCGAGTGTCAACTGATCAGCGAGTTCGATCACGCACAGAAGAGACAGTGAACAACATCGCTGTTTATTCAACGAGAGATGGACAAGATGGTCTTGGAGGCACCTTTCTCTGGTTTCAACTGTTCATCGACGTCCTTTTGCGTCTTCCTCATTCGACTAGTGACATCCAACAACTGGTCATCATGTGCAAGGAGAGCTATGCCGATAATCCACATGAAGAAGCGACGATTCGAGAATTTGAAAGAGACTATCATCCACAAAAGAGTATTTGGTGGTACACTCGAGACTCTTGTCTCTATCGGATTCTCAACAAAGCTCTTCGACTTCAAGACATTGATCTTCTCTTCTCAATGAGATTTCTCATCAAAGATATTAGCCAACAGCTCAAAGATGAACATCAAAAGTTCGTCATGAACAATGGTGTAATTCGAGTCTATCGTGGTCAAGCAGTGTCGGCAGAAGAGATGAACAAGTTGAGATGTGGAGAAGGACAGTTGATTTCATTTAACAGCTTTCTCTCGACGAGTCTCAACAAAGATGCGGCGCTGATGTTCGCACATCAGATTGTTTCCTCTGACACTTTGCAGCGTGTGTTCTTCGAGATCAAAGTGGACACTCGACTCGAGACTCGTGCATTTGCTGATATCAGTGACATGAGCTACTTTCACAGTGAGCAAGAAGTTCTGTTCATTGTCGGCTCTGTGTTTCGGCTTGAGAATGTGATGTTCGATGAGAGAGAGGCGTTGTGGTGTGTCAAGCTGACACTGTGTAATGAAGATGATCAAGATATGAAGGAGATGTATGAGCATCAAAAGAAGAGTGTTGGTGGTGGAGATGAGCAGGCCAGTCTCCTCTCACTTGGTAGAATTTTATTCAATATGGGCGAATATGAGAAAGCGAAACAATACTACACTCGTGTATTGGATGAGCCGAGCAATGATGATAGAAATGTTGCTGTGTGTCATCAACGACTCGGCGAAGTAAGTGTATCACAAGGAGACTATGATGTTGCACTCAATCATTTGAATGAAGCCGTGAAACTGTACAAGAAGTTTCAACATGCACATGACACAGTAGACATTGCTAACTCTTATTATTGGATAGGCACAGTGCACAAGTACAGAGAGGAGTATGAAACAGCGCTTTCTTATTATGACAAAGCTTTGGCTATACAACAAGCGAAGCTTCCTGCTGATCGTGTTGAAACCGCCCATACTCTGAGTGAAATCGGTAATGTTCACTATCGGCAAGGAAATAATGATTCTGCCTTGTCTTATCATCAGCGTGCTCTTGTCATGTACAAGAAGGTGTTGCCCCCGACTCACTGGTCCATATCAACTAGTCTGGCAGAGACTGGCAACGTGTATCTCACCAAGAAAGAGTACGATCGAGCTCTCCATTATTACAATCAAAGTCTCCAGATTCAACGAAAGACACTTCCACGCGATCATCCGGACGTAGCTACTACTTACTATTCAATCGGTTGTGTGTATGAAAAGAAGAATGAGTTGACGACAGCTCTCGACTATTTCGAGAAGTGTCTCGTTATTCGAAAGAAATCTTTCCCACCATCTCACCCGTACATTCAGAGGGTGAGTGACGATATCCGACGGGTGAAATCTAATTAACGTTTGGTTGCATAGACTTAGACGCTTGTTTTCTTATGCTGGTTTTGTGCACTATAGTCAATGGCTGATATGTTGCTTATGCTTATGCTGCTTTCAGTGTTCTAAATTATGCAATCATCATCCATAGAATTCCTTGTGACTGAAATACATTGTTTTCCGTCTAACTGATATATTTAATTCGATTTAAACTGTCTTTTCTCTTAGTTCTACATAATCAGCTGCTGAAAAGAGTTTATTCGTACACTGACGTATATTGAATGGAAGAGTGTATGACAGACGGACAAATATGAGCCAATCACTCTTCGAAGACTTAATATTTTTTACAGCAAATAAACATATTTTATGAGAAAGATATGTGGTTTCTTTGTCAGTTACATATGTATACAGTGCTGTTGATATTTTACCCACGAACGTTTTTCTCTATATTTTGCGCGCACATACACCCCGATCTATCTGTCTTCAGCTTCCTTTTATATAGAGCATATACCGCACCTTAGTTACTTCAGACGTCATATATCCTCATATTTAACCGGTGCTGTTCGCAGACATAACTATAAGACAAATCATAATAATTTTTCTAATTTAACATTTAATTTAATGACATTGAAACAACAATACTTAATGCAGTTAAAATAGCAAAAACATTTATTGATGAATTAAAAATGACTAAATTATTAAAAAGAAATAATATGTATAAATTAAAAGAACTATCATTAGGTGTTCATAAAGAACATGAAACAACAAGTAATGTTCATGGTTATTCTGAATCTAAACTCGAAACATACAAATGAAAACTATTCCGATGAAGATAAAAAATTGAACAGTTCAAATTCCGATGAGGATAATGGTGAAGAGAGGAGATAAATGTTTTAAACACATACAACAAAAAAAACTTAAATTCCATGGTATAGAACAAATTTCTGGTCCAGATATATGAGTACACTACGCGCCCTACGAGTCACTTCACCCATGCCCCAAGTGACTGGAATGTGATCGATTGAGTCTGAGAGTGCTCTTTCCCCCCCTTGATTTTATGCCAATATTCACGAGTTCATGTTGAACTTTTAGTCGTCAGTCATTAATGACTGGTAAAGATCAAATTCATTAATAATGACAGTATCTGAGTTATGTGAAACATCAACATCAGGATTAAATGTATCAACTGTATCGTAATATGACCATTTAAATAAAATAAATCTTGACGAATCAGATTATCTGCTAGGTAATAATTGAGCCATCAATGCCACTAAAAACGAGTTCATGTCTTTTGTATTTGTAGGAAAAATGACAGAACTATTTATTAATAGTAATGGTGATGAGAAACTAAGATTATTGATGTTATGACCGGCAGTTTGGGATCATAAAAAGATCGAAAAACTTTTTCGAGCAATAGAACATCAAGCTCGAAAAAGGGTTGCACTTTGATTATCTCATCCAGAATGTTGTTCACGAAATCCACCAGTGAATTCTAAAATTATTGAGTCAGTTAATATTTTTTATTGGTCTGATATTATTAGTCGAGTGAGATGAAAAGATTGTATTTTTATGCCGGGTTTGGATGGAGTAATAGTAACACATTAACAGCAATGAGAGTAAGTTAAGTTTGTCGCAATTAACGACTGGACCCAAAATAATAACTCACTTTTAGTTTCTTTTTTTGAGGTGTGTAAATAAGGTTTGAAGACTTGTTCAAAACGAACGAGTGTTGTTCGTACAGAGAAAGAAAGAAAGAGTGATTGTGTTAGTGTAATCAAAGCAACAGAAAAAGAACAAATGTGGGGGCACTATACAGCTTGGAAAAGATACTTATCAAAGCACCGGTTAGTAAAATTCCATTGTAAGTTTTATTCAATATATGTCGAAATGATGAAATTGCTTAGGTAAAACAATAAACAATAAAACAAAACAAAAGTATTAATCGATTTTTTTAAAAATTGCTTTCGTTCTTGATACATTTAAATTTTATTGAAATTTTGCCGTTTTCGCCTAAAATCGGGCAAGTCGTTTTTCGATAACTTTTTCATTTCTTCATATATATTTTTCAAAACTATACTGTTGAATAGCCCGTGAAATTCTCTACAAACTCCTTAACAACACATTATTTAGATTTAGGAATTATATCATAACTACTAGATAGTGACGACTGCAAATTCTCAACCGCGAGCTCCACACATGCTTTTGTTCTTTTACAGTAGACGATCCCGTGAGAACCCAAATCATCGATCCGGTCATTTTGGAGAAAGATTTTCTCTCGGAAAACCGGACGAATTTCTCCCCTCCTGTGATATTGTTGGAGTACGCCAAGTGTACTACCGTGAGCCATGGTGGGATTTTTGGGATCGCTTAAAATCCCCCGGAAAACCAAGTGAGGTTTCTAGAAAATCAGACCATGAAATTTTTCAATCGAATTGGAATTTTCACACCAGCCATTTTATAGAGTATATCAGGTTACACGTGTCAAACCATTTTTAGAAAAACTGTTGCTACTAATCTTGTAGCCCGAGATGTCTTCTACAAAACGCAGTTTCAAAATTAGAAACATGTTTCACCAATTCGCAGAAATTTAAGAAAGCACTAGATGCACTGAAAATGTTTGTCTTTTTCAGTCGCGTCCGCAACGACGAAGTTTTTCGCGAGAAACATAATCTTTAATTCTTGCCGATAAGGCCCTTTTCTACGACAGTGAGGTATATCAAAAACATTATATCACTTAAACTCGTTAGCTGCTAGACTTTGCTTAATTACCATTTGAAAGAAAAATCTTTAAGCTACAAACTGAGATGTTCGCCAACTCTGTACGCTTCTCGGCTGAAGAGCTATGACTTTCACAAAACGTTACGGACGTACGTAAAAGTTGACTTTTACGTGGACAAGCCCTATGGTTTATGCTATAATTTCTATTGGTTTATTAGGGTTTATTGTATGGACTCATCATATGTTTACTGTTGGTATAGATGTTGATACACGTGCTTATTTTACTGCGGCTACTATAGCTATTGCTGCTCTTACCGGTATTAAAATTTTTAGTTGAACTGGTATATTGGCCGGTCGTATTTATAAGTTTGATTATTTGTTGCGTTGAGTTTTAGGTTTTCTTTTTCTTTTTACTATAGGTGTGTTAACTGGCATTGTTCTTTCTAATTCTAGATTAAATATTGTTATACATGACACTTATTATGTGGTAGCTCAGTTCCATTATGCTTTAAGAATAGGGGCTGTCTTTAGTATTTTAGCTAGTTTTTTTTATTGATTTCCTTTCTTTACCGGATTAGTAATAAATTCTAAATATTTATTAGTGCAATTCACTGTTATATTTTTTGCTGTTAATTTAACTTTTCTCCTCAACATTTTTTAAATTTAGTTGGAATATCCCGTCGTTATAGGGATTATGCTGATAGTATATTATTTTGAAATGTGATTTCTTCTTCAGGTGTATTAATTTCTTTTTTATCTATAGTATATATTCTTTTATATTTGAGTTGCTTTTGTAGAAAAACGTGTAGTTTTAATGAATTTAAGAGGTTATTGAGAAAAACAATATCATATGAAATTTAAATACTCCTTTATCTTTTCATTCTTGTAGTGAACTAACGAGTGAACGTTTTTAAGTGTCCCCTCGCTTTTTCAACGAAACCTAGTGGGTTATAGGTTATCGATGATGCTGATTGTGAATATGAATATGAGCGCTGCCCTTGGGGCTTCGAAGTTCCGGTTTTCTGGAAAATAATCAAAGCTTTTCTTAATAAGTCATGCTTGTAGTTCGCACATTTCTGATTAAAATGAGACCTCTCCAACAATATCTAATCTAGAATTAGAAAGGACAATGCCAGTTAACACACCTATAGTAAAAAGAAAAAGAAAACCTAAAACTCATATAAATAAGAGAACAAAATAAACCTTTGAGCTATTTAGATCTTTAGAAATTTAGATATTTACATTTTGCAGTCTCAAATATAAATAGGAAGGTACCTTCTATTTTGAAAATATAACAGCAGTTTTTTAAGATGCAAAATCCATGTTTTTGCATTCTGATATGCAAATTGCTAAAAAAATGAAAGAAGTTGCAGGTTGCAACTTCTTAAACGGTAAATCCTAGAAGTGCATCTTAATCATTATGTGATAAAACAGCAATCTCAAAGGAATCAAGTTGAAGTCGAACCTAATAGTTACAAAATAACCAATATATGCAAAAAATATATGCAAGTGCTTTTTATAGTTTAAGTAAAATTTTTTGTGAAAAAAAAAATGAGTACAGTTTAGCGATTAATTATTATGCAAAATTTATTCATTTAGTTGAAAATGATAACAATCAAAAACAAACTTTACAAGATGATCGAACTCTAACTGCAGATATTTATGAAATATGTGGAAATATTTATTGTTATTGTAATGAAAACGTTATTGCTTATATTTTTAACAGAAAATCAGTAGCATATTTGAAGAAAACATTTCTAATTTGTTATAAAGATATAAAACGTATTAAAAAATGCATTTTCAACATGTATCATTCAAAAAGTACCGTTTAATTATCTGTTTGATATTATATATTTATTGAACAACGAGTACAGTTTAAAGAACACTTAGCTATGAGCTAGAAAATGATTATCATGTAGATTTGTAACGCAGTAAACGCCGTATAACCCTATAAAAGAATTTTTATCGACACTAGTACGCCATTGTTGCGCACCAGCGTCGAATATTTGGCACGAGTGTGAGCCGGTGCGAAACCTGAAAGATTTTCTAGCATTGGTGTGAATCGGTACTCGGAAGAAAATTTATTCGATATCAATCGGTTATCGGTACTCTCTGTAGAAATCAATAGTGTTTTTCGTTTTTCCGGCTTTTGGGGTCTGGATTTTGCAGGCATGTGAAAAAGACATTATAATCAGGGGCTATTTCTATCCACCATATACATAGCAAAAGGAAATCTATCTTTCTTATTGTTTACTCTCGTATTATGTGACGGTTTTTGCATTTAGTTTTACGCTGAGAAAATTACAGAATATGGTTGGATTGTGAAAAAGTTGCTTGAAGAGCAGGGCTGGCCGTTTCTACTTGAATTCGATTAAGATCGAAAACACTTGCTGCCTCTTTCCAATTCTTACCGTATTTCAAGATGTCAAGAGCAAAACCGGTTGACTGCGCATAATCCAAAAAAGGAAGAAGTTCTGCTGGAGGATAGTGTAATATGATATAAAAATAGGCGATGAATTTCAGGAGAAATGTCGCACTGTGTTCATTCCTCTTAGAATAACAAAAACGCTTAGCAACGAATGTTTTTTTATTATTTTCTCGGTTTTTCCTTTTACATTGTTCATTAGTCAAAAGTAAGATGACTTTTTCTAGAGCTTTTTGAGCAATAAATTGTCTGTACAATTCAGTCTGACTTAACGTATGATAAGAAAAAGATTATATCGTTACTATTTGACTGTAGGAGCAACAGACTGGCGTCATGACCAAAACGCATCTGTGTCCTTTCCATTTTTCCAGCCTGCATTTTTTTCTCCACCTGAAAAAAAATGACCCCC